ATTTTATTTTTATTGAAAAGTCATACACTGAGAGACAAAGAGGAAGATCTTCCATCTGCTGACTCACTCCCCAAGTGGCCACAATGGCCAGAGATGAGCTGATCTGAAGCGAAGCCAGGAGCCTGGAGCCTCCTCCGGGTCTCCCATATGGGTGCAGGGTCCCAAGGCCCTGGGCTGTCCTCAGCTGCTTTCCCAGGTTACAAGCAGGGAGCTGGATGCAAAATGGGGTCACCAGGGACACAAACTGGTGCTCATGTGAGATCCCAGTGTGTGCAAGGCTTTAACCAATAGGCTACTGTGCCTGGCGCTCTGCCATTCTTCAAATCTTAATCTCTTCGGCCTCTGTGGTCTCGAATCTGGAGCTTTATTGAGAGCTGTCATCCTGAAGATGTTCTAGCGTATCACTTACCAGGTGTTTCCATACAGGGATGGATGTTGTGGCTCAGCAAGTTAAGCGACCACTTGCAACACCCACATCCTATAGTTGAGGGCCAGCTCAAGTTCCAGCTTCTCCACTTCTGATTCAGATTCCTGCTAGGCAGTCTGGAAGGCAGCAGGTGTTTGAGTGCTGTGGCCCTGGCTTCCAATTGGCCCAGTCCTCCTGGCTGCAATGGCCATCTGGGGAATGAGCCAATGGAAGGACAGTGTCTTCTCCCATTGTGCCTTTCAAGTAGACAAAAATAAATAAACATGTCAACATATATGTCCATGTCACGTTTAGCAGAGGAAAAGCTGAAAGAAACACTGATGTATAGATTACACAGTATCAGCAAAACTGGCCTGAGACTTGACCTGTGTTTCTCTGTGAAAAGCCTGCAGCTGGGCCCGGCGCAACTGGTTAAGGTCCTCGCCTTGCACACCCGGAATCCCATATGGGCACCGGTTCTAATCCCGGAGGCCCCACTTCCCATCCAGTTCCTTCCCTGTGGCCTGGGAGAGCAGTTGAGGATGGCCCAGGGCTTTGGGACCCTGCACCCGTGTGGGAGATCCGGAAGAGGCTCCTGGCTTCGGATTGGCTCAGCTCCAGCTGTTACAGCCACCTGGGGAGTGAATCATCGGACTGGAAGATCTTCCTCTGTCTCTCCTCTCTGTATATCTGCCTTTCCAATAAAATAAAATAAATCTTTAAAAAAAAAAAAAGCAAAGCCTGAGGCTTTTGATGCTCCTTAAAATCTTCTCCCTACTTGCATGTTTTAAGGGGAATAATTTTTTTTAAAGGTTTATTTATTTTTATCACAAAGTCAGATATACAGAGAGGAGGAGAGACAGAGATGAAGGTCTTCTGTCCAATGATTCACTCCCCAAGTGAGCGCAATGGCCGGTGCTGCGCCGGTCTGAAGCTGGGAACCAGGAACCTCTTCCAGATCTCCCATGTGGATGCAGGGTCCCAAGGCTTTGGGCCGACCTGGACTGCTTTCCCAGGCCACAAGCAGGGAGCTGGATGGGAAGTGGGGCTGCCGGGATTAGAACCGGCGCCATATGGGATCCCGGCGTGTTCAAGGCGAGGACTTTAGCTGCTAGGCCACGCCGCCGGGACTGGGAAATAATTTTAAGCTGTTTGACTGCCCTGGCGCAACTGCATTAGGACTGTCCTAAGGGTTCAATTTTGAGTCATGCATGGGATTAAGGAAGAATTAAATACTGTAAGCACCATCCTAGCTTAGAGAAGAAAACACAGCAAGTGACCTTGCAGAATATGAGTTGGTAAGATTATTTTTTTTTTTTTAAAGATTTATTTTTTTTATTATTTTTTCATTGGAAAGGCAGATATACAGAGAGGAGAGACAGAGAGGAAGATCTTCCATCCGATGATTCACTCCCCAAGTGAGCGCAACGGGCCGATACTATGCCGGTCCGAAGCCAGGAGCCTCTTCCGGGTCTCCCACGCGGGTGCAGGTTCCCAAAGCTTTGGGCCGTCCTCTGCTGCTTTCCCAGGCCACAGGCAGGGAGCTGGAAGGGAAGCGGGGCTGCCGGGATTAGAACCGGCGCCCATATGGGATCCCGGGCGGCAAGGTGAGGACCTTTAACCACTTGCGCCACCGCGCCGGGCCCAAGATTATTATCTTCTCAAGCCGAGAGAATAGCTGCTACTTTTTCCCAGAGTAATTATTTCCTAAAGAAAGCACTTGTGCCTTTCTCACAGCCCGTGGGGAGCGGGGGTAGTGATGCAGAGTTCACAGGACGGGGAGACCAGGTGCATTACCACCACCTTGGAATTGATGTCCGACCTTAAACATCCAAGTTGAACTAGTAATTGTCCCAGAGCTCTGGGGCAATGAGACTTAATTTTTATTCCAGGATGTTGTAGCTAAAGAAACATCCCAAGTAGAGGTATATGCAAGGTGCGCAAAGTGATAGTGTTTTAGCTTAAAGATGAGAAAGCGAACACACACACACACACACACACACAGCACGTGAGCATGGCAACCCCACACTAACAGATGCCCATCATGAGTGGGCAGTGGGCCAGAAGGAGAAGGCAGGGGACGGGAGAGAGCAACTCCCAGCACCTCCTTTTACAAGGTAGAGGGGTGGAGCCCACTACTGACAAAACCACCTGGGCCTTTTAACTTGTGCTCCATAAAATTTCTCCACATTTGCATGGCTTCTTCCTCACCAGGTCCCAGGAGGGGTAAATGTATTTGAGGAAAGGAGGGGCTTTGACGGATAAGTAGGAGGATGGGATTACACGTGGGTTGGGGGCTCGGGGTTTGGGACTTGAAGGTACACCTCAGCTCTGCAGATCCTACCACCAGAACCTGCCCAGGTTTGGACCACTTACCCTGTGGAGCAAGTTCTTTCTCGTGTTTCTAGCACCACCTACTGGTGCCTCAGCGCACCTGCAGGTGAATCCTGAGACCTAGAAGCGAAGAGGAAGGGGGGAAAGGGAGGGTGGGCAGAAGCACAGGGCAGACTCTGCTGAGAAAAAGAGAATTCGGGTGCTTTTGAGTTTGACAGCAAGAAGTAGCCACCATCCCTTCTTCCCCTGTAGATACAGGAGGAAAAAAAAGAAAGAGTTGAAACATTTATTCACCCACCTTCCTCTGTGCCTTGACCTTCCCCGCCCTGTAATCAGGAGCACTCCGGGACGTGCAGCCTTCTCAATTATGTGAACAATATTAAAAATAAAATAATTTGAAAAAGGAAGATAAGTATGGAGATGGGCCACTCGATGTGTGTGAAAGAGAGAGCGAGAGAGATTGAGTTGGATTCTGGGACATCTTTGTCATATCTCTGGAGCGATGCATGAGAAAACGGGAATGGAGGCTACTTCCCCTGAAAGAAAGTGGAGATGTGGCCAACAAAACCGACAACAAGTCTCTTATTCTGTACTATTTTCTACCCTTTTACATTTGTTAAGTTTATTACATGTACAAGTATCATCCAAATTCAAAAATTAAGAAAGAAAACCGTGTCCCCTGAAATGGCTTGTCCTGACATCTGAACAGAACTGGAAGGGACAGGACGAGAGGTGGTGGAACAGAAGGGCTCCATGGTCAGGGGCTGTGGGCGGCGGCACCGCCTCCCTGCACGTGACGCTGGGCCCACTGGTGAGAGCCGTCTCCTTCCCCCAAGTCTCCTGTTGAGATGATTTGCACAATATTCCCATTGCTCTTTTTTCTGCCTCAAAGTCCTGATACTTCTCGGTGGTTTCAATACAACAGAAAAAGTTGCAAACTAATTTTACAGATTGACCGAGTCAAAGATGCCAGCAACTATCAAGTTCACTACCAACGATCATTGTAGGTCCCGTGAAGAAAGAACACCCATGCCAGTTACACCATGAGATAAGTTCAGAGATTTTTAAAAGGTGAAAACAATCGTGTCTTTGGATCAGTGTTGTGGCGTAGCGGGTAAAGCCACTGCCTGTGATGCCTGCATCCCCCACAGGCACCAGTTCCTGGCCCTGTTCCCCCTCGGACCCAACTCCCTGCTAATAGCCTGGGAAAGCAATGGAGGATGGCCCAAATGCTTGGGCCTCTGCGCCCATGTGGGAGACCAGAAGAAGTTCCTGGCTCCTGCCTTCAAGCTGTCTCAGCATTAGCCATTACAGCCATCTGAGGTATGTACAACAGATGGAAGATTTTTGTCTCTCCTTTCTGTAACTCTTTTACATAAAAATAACAGCTAGAACTGTACCAGTCAGAAGCCAGGAGCCTAGAAATTCTTCCAGATCTCCCACTTGGTGCAGGGACTCAGCTTGGCCATTTGGAGAGTGAGCCAGTGGATACAATACCTCTCTTTTGCTCTCTCTGCCTTTCAATAAATAAATACTTTTTTTTAAAGATATAACTTCAAAACAGATATTGTGGCACAGATATAAGTTGACACTAGAGACAACTGCATCCTATCAGTGCAGGGGCCTGAGGCCCTGGGCCATCCTCCACTGCTTTCCCAGGCACATGAGCAGGGAGCTGGATGGGAAGTGGAACAGCTAGGACTTGAACCGGCACCCATGTGCAATGCTGGCACCACAGGCAGAGAATTCATCTACTATGCCACAGTGCCTGTCCCTGCTCCAGGATTTTTAAAAACAGCTCCTGCTGTGTCTAGGGTGTGTCCACAGGCTGATGGGAAGATGCCTGGGGCAGGATGGCTGCCATTGACTCCACATGATTTGAGAATCATATCTCAGGACTTCTCTAGCTAGCCATTGCTGGTGCTAATGCGTGGTTATGAGCGTTGCGGTAAACTCCAGCAAGAAATGTCAGTAAGGAGACTGAATGAGTGGGGCACCCATCACCCTCTTACGGAAATCATGTTTCCTTGACTTTGACACATTTTCAAGTGTTAATGCCTGTGACTGTGATAACCACTGCAGGTTTGCAATCCACAGAATGTTCTAGCACCAAGAATTCATTCTCCTTCCCAACTCCCAGGTTCCTTTCTCTCCTTTGTGGGGGGATGCGGGGGTGGAGAACCGGTGGGTCCCCAGGAGGCTGTAGCCGCTGACTGCATCTGGGCCCTCACCACCTTTGCTTTTGGCCTCTTCCCACCAGGAGAAGTTGCTCCAGTGCAAGGAACTGCCTTCGACCTAAGGAAGCCGGTGGAACTTGGGAAGCACCTGCAGCAGTTCAGCATCAATGGCTTTGACCACAATTTCTGCCTGAAGCAATCCAAAGAAAAACATTTCTGTGCAAGGTGGGGAGCTCTTTGTTTACTATCTCAGTAGGGAGGAAGAGACATCAACTTGCATTTAAAGAACTTCTCCCCCTGGCATTAGCAATAGCAGTTACTCTGCTACGGGGACCAACTCCCACAGCCTGGATCTCTTCAAAACTCCCCGCCATGTGTGAATCTGTGGAGTTTAAATCCTTATCACCTTCCATTATCCCTGCCACCTACTCCCATGTCCTCATCTCTGCCCTCATTCTTCCTGCCTTAAGTCACTTCTTCCTGCACCAAACTCCCAGAGCCCTCTATCCTTTCTTGATCCGTGATCTATGTCCCGCCTACTCCCGCAGGAAGTCAGGGAAGTAAGTGATGGGTTCCCTGCAGCTGTCGCCACCTCCAGCTTCAGTCTGCACCCTGCTCACATGCACCTGCCTCTTCTTACTCAAGTCATCTTTTGGGAGGGAATCCTTGGCTCTAACCCAGGAGCCAATCTCTTGCTTGACGCTAATAATCAGTGCATGGCAGTACGATGAATGGGATTTTAAATACAGCAAATTGTTGTAACTCTATGGGAGATGGTAGGAATTCTCAAACCCTCTTTCCCCCAGAGTCCCGGCACACAGCCAGGCTGTGTCCCCCACCAACTCCAGTCGCCTTCTTTTCTGTGTCTATCACTCCTGTTTGTCCCAACCCCATGGGGTCCTCCCAGCTTCTTCCCACTTGCACAACTCCTGGTCCTCCTGGTCCCATGCATCTTTCGCTGAACCTCTTGGTGGACAACATAGGGGAGAAGGGGCATGTTGGCTGTTTCCATATTTGGCCTCTTGGTAATACTGTCAGGTGCAGGCCTTTCTGGATCTGTACCCCTTGATCCCAGGGGCACAGCCACGTAGGATCAGCTCTGGAGAGCTCTGGTTGTACACAAAGGAAACAGAAGATCTGGTGGGAGCCCACAGGGACTGTTCTAGGGGGAGAGCTGGTGAACAGGCAGCTGCTCGAACCCCAGGAAAGGGCAGACTTTAATAGCATCTTCTGTCTCAGCAGACACAGCCAAGCTGAGAGCTCCAACTGTCTAGGAGAGACTCCACCTTTGCAGCACCCTAAGCCGGTGGATCACTCCTACCTGCAGCTGCCTGGGCCGAGGCTATTCTGCCCTCTCCCCAAAGAAAAGGGGTGCTCCTGGGGATCCTTAAAATCACCCATTCCTGCAAGGGGTCAATGTTGTGGGGCAGTTGGTTAAACTGCCACCTGTGACGCAGCATCCCATAGCAGAGCCATTTTGAGTCGTGGCTGCTCTACATCCTTCACAGTTCTTTGCTAATGTGCCTGGGAAAGCAGCAGAGGATGGGCCAAGTGCTCGGGTCCCTGCACTCCTGCGGGAAATCCAGCTGGAGTTCCAGCCTGCCGGCTCCAGCTTACCAGCGCTGGTTGTTGCATGCCATGTGGGGAGTGAGCCAACAGATGGAAGATGCCTTGCTGTTTCTCATTCACTCCCTAATGCTGCCTTGCAAATAAATCTTGAAACAAATCTACCCACATGGCTTCCCTCACAAAGCTCCAAGAATTTTCCATGGTGCCCTTTCTACCTCTGTCCAGCACGCTCCCTGCCCCTGCCCTGTGGCCAGGTCTGCTTCCTGTTTTGATATGTCTTCCCAGCTCCTGCTCTCCCTGCCAGCACTTCCTCCCTGAACTCATCTGTGGCTTGTCTTTACTCCCAGGGTGCGTCATGCTGCAAGCGGGCGGGTACTAGAAGTGTACACCACCCAACCTGGGGTCCAGTTCTACACGGCCAACTTCCTGGATGGCACGCTGAAGGGCAAGGGCGGATCAGTCTATCCCAAGCACTCTGGTTTCTGCCTGGAGACCCAGAACTGGCCTAACGCAGTCAACCAGGTAAAGCACAGGCTGGCTTGCTGGAGTGGGGCTTTATCCAAGGTCACACTACATGACAGAGCTCACAGCACTCCAGCCTGTTGGTGTCAGAATTCCACGGTTCTGTCCCCCACGTCATGACAAACACAGAGCACACAGAGCCAAGTTACCAGCATGTTGCTTACATGTTTAAAAAGAGGTCCAGGGATGCACCTGCAAGGCCTCCGGGCAGCTTGGTGCTCCTCCTCAGCTTGGTGGACCCACGCATGTTCTGCACCCACGCTTTGAGACAGATCTTCCACAGTGGCCCTTCCTGTCTGCTGTCTCACAACCTTCTTTTCCAGCTGCTAAGTGTCAACCCCTGCTAAGTACCCTGCACCTTAGACCGGAGTGTAAATCAACATTCTAATGCGTGCATCGAGCAGCTCTTGCTACGACAGCGCATGCCGAGGGATGTGGTAGATTTCCATTCTGGTTCCAGGGCTTCCTCTCTTTGCAGACCTGCACGGCTGGCTTCCACAGAATCCATTCTGGAAGCACACCCAGAATGACTAACGATGTGTCCTGCTCGTTTCCCCATTTTCACAGCCCAACTTCCCTCCTGTGCTGCTGAGGCCCGAGGAGGAATACAACCACACCACCTGGTTCAAGTTTGCTGTGGCTTAAGGAAATGTGCACACTTGATCCTGCAGAGAGCAGACCAGGAGCCCCCTCCGCAGCCGTCTCCAGTCTAGAGATGGGGGCGAAGACTGAGAGGCCTCCCAAGCAATCCCACAAATTATAATTGTATGAATGGTAGCCGACTAGATAATCAGTCTGAATGAGGATTTCCTTTCCCAAGCCTGACTCCAGGCCATGTCTAACGATCAGCTCTCCCAGGCAAGTAAATTCCAACCACAAGTGTCACCAGCTGATGCCCAGAAGTCTTAGGCTGCTATTGGTTCCATCTCTTCCCCACACCGTGTTCTTTCCTACTGCCCACTCTTCCTTTGATGCTGCTATTGTCATTTTTCCCTCCTCCTGTGCCCACAACCCCTTTCAAATCAAGAGTGATTTCCAAAAGTTGTGCCAGCTTATTTAGCACACCACCAGATGGGACTCTGTGCCTCCAGGAGGCAAGAGATGGTTAAGGGGAGAGCCTGATGGAGTTTCAGGCTCCTGGCTTCAGCCCCACCCAGCCCTGGTGGCTGAAACCAGAGAGCAGAAGCTCAGGCCCAGAGAAAGAGAGAGACCTGCCACAAGCTACTACAACTGTTAGCCAGGACTTGACTTCTGGTCATGCCAACTCACGTCATTGTCTTTGCTTCCACCAGAGCCTTTCCAGGGTCACTGAGGGGCAAAAAGGAGTATGAGCCCTGCTCTGTTAGAGCCAACTTCTCTTCCCAGAGCCACTTTTGCAGGAAGTATTAGGTTGAAGTGAGCTCTTAGCCTTCAAAGTGAAGTCACTTCGGGGGAAAAGATCAAAATGTCCACAAAGAACCATTTAAGAATCTGCCTTTGGGGTTAACTGAGAAAGCCCTGCCCAGCCAAAGCAAGCACAGGAAACAAGTCCTGGGAGCTGTGCTAGGGTGAGGCCAGCGTCAACCCCCTCCCTCGGCCAGCTCCCCATGTGCCAGCCCAGTGAGGGGCACACGTCGCACAGGGAGCAGATGTAGCTAAGTGGATGAGGCTAGGGGCTCTTCCTTTTCTGGGCCACATAATCATCAGTGATGGGTATGGGTTGTTGATTTCCAAATATATTTGTACCATTTCTCTACCACAATCAGTTGAAATAAAGCCAAAATCTGACTCTTGAGGAGACTCCAGTTTCTTCAGTTTTTTAAATCTTCAGGCACAGGCCTTTGGGAAATGGTCAAGGTTATGGGCATGTCAAATTCTCTGTCCTATGACAGCAAAAGATGGCTGGGAGGAGGAGATATAGTACTGGAGTGCACGGTCACCACTCATCAACACTGCTAGTTACAAATCTTAAGAGAGGGAGAACTGCAGAGTGCACATCCTGGATCTTGTCTGAAGGGAGACGGGACTGTTGGTGAAGTGCAACACCAGTAAAATCACACACTGGCTTCCTCTGGGAGGAAGAGGACTTGCACGTTGGGCCATCTGTCAGTTTCTCCAGCCAGGGACCAGGGACCTCTTTGCTCTACAGGACTCACCCCTACATGGCAGGGTTGTAGGGTCAGACACCCTGGCAAGGATTCCAATAAAATAGAATTAGGCAGTTAATGGAGATGAATCATGACCAAGAACTCAGCTGTCCAGAAGGCCCTAGAAGCAGGCTGCGGGGTGGAAGTACAGATTGTGCAGTGTTCTGGGCCCTTGCTCAAACCCAGGAAGGAAGGCAGACTCTAGGCTCAGCGCCCAGCGGCTCAGGCATCTGTCGTCCACCCTTTCATATCCTTCATTCCTACCATGCATAGGGCCTGGGAAAAGGACCTGACCGGGAGCCCACTAAGGACAGTGTCAAGGTGGCAGCTTATGTCATGCCTCATGATGGATCCCACCTGGACAGTCCGGACAGCAGTGCAGTCCTTCTCCAGTCCAAGCACTTATCTTCTCCCTGTACATTCCAACTTGTCCAGCTTGGCTGCCCAGCTCACAATAAAAACCTCTCAGATATTCTGGGTAACATTTGCAGCTATATTCAAGGAAGGGGATCAGTAGTAGATCTACAAAAGGCAATGCTAATAGTGAAAGAATCGACAAAACAATTTTGGCGCTCTAGAAGCCAAGCCAAGAAATGACATTCAAACGTCAAATGTCTTTACGTATGAAAAGCTGCTGGGCTCTGGGTGGGAACCGAGAGTCTTCCGCATTTCTGCCCAGGCGAGTCCCCATTCCCCTCCGTCCTCAGCTCATGGTGAAGGCTGAGTGAGGGCACAACCACAGAACAAGCGAGCACCTATGGGGGAAGGGAGGTCCATCGCATCTCCCTGGTGGGCAGCAGCCAAGCCCAACGATGGTGTCAACTGAAGCTATGATGTAGGTGCTGCATAAGCAGACCAAGTGTACGGCCTGGCAGCCAGCAGGTTCCTGGATGATGGGAGGCTGCATGCAAACACAGCAGAGCCCGAGGCCCAAACTAGCCACACACTCCCAGGGAACTCCCAATGAAAATAGATCAAAATAGATTTAAAAATATAATTTTAGGGCCCAGAGCCTAGTGGCTAAAATCCTCACTTCATACGCACTGGGATCCCATAGATAGGCACCAGTTCTAATCCCATCCAGCTTCCTGCTAACAACCTAGGAAAGCAGTCAAGGATGGTCCAAAGCCTTAGGACCCTGTACCCGTGTGGGAGAACTGGAAAAGGTTCTGGGCTCCTGGCTTGGGATCAGCTCTGCTCCAGCCATTGCAGCCACTTGGGGCATGAATCATCAGGCAAAAGATCTTCCTCTCTGTCTCTCCTCCTCCTCTCTGTATATCTGACTTTACAATAAAAAATAAGTAAATCTTAAATATATATAGTCTTGAATACCCAAGAGGAATTAAAATGGCACATACAGAAAAAAATTTAATACAAAGGCAAGCAGTAAGAGGAAGACAAAACACATGCAATGTGATAAACTTAAACCCAATGAGGTCAATAATGTCATTAGATGTAAGGGGTTTAAACCTCCAAATGGTTATTTGTCAGACTGAATTACAAAGCAAAACTCAGGGCCCGGCAGCGTGGGCCTAGTGGCTAAAGTCCTTGCCTTGAACGCACCGGGATCCCATATGGGCGCCGGTTCTATCCCGGCAGCCCCGCTTCCCTTCCAGCTCCCTGCTTGTGGCCTGGGAAAGCAGTCGAGGACGGCCCAGAGCTTTGGGACCCTGCACCCGCGTGGGAGACCCGGAAGAGGTTCCTGGTTCCCGGCTTCGGATTGGCGCAGCACCTGCTGTTGCGGCTCACTTGGGGAGTGAATCACCGGATGGAAGATCTTCCTCTCTGTCTCTCCTCCTCTCTGTATATCTGAGTTTGTAATAAAAATAAATAAGTAACTCTTTACAAAGAAAAGCAAAACTCAGTAACTATATGCTGTCTGAAGAGGCTTGCCTAATTTGCTCTTCACAAATAAGTTGCTGTAATCACAAACAACAATAGCAAACAACGCGATTTACTATTAGAACCAGAGATGCTTCATAATGATAAAGACATAAGCATATTAACATTTTTGAATCTATGTACGTAGCTAGCCAACGAACCTCGGGTGTTTTCAGCAGTAACTGTGGCCAGATGCCATCCCTGAGGTTGCCTTAGTTCCAAGCATAACCTAACAATTCTAGAAGCTAGCTGCTTGGAAAATGAGCATTTCTCTGAGCACAGTGACCTCTACTGGTACAAAGTTTAAATGCCATTTCAGCCTTTTGAATAGAAAGGTCCCTTGGTTAGAAATCATACAACTCTCCTTTGAATCACATACAAACGCTATCATTTCATTAGATTCAATGCCAATCTAACGACCCGTACAGGAAGAGCCCGGAGCAGAGGTCTTCAGTCCTGGTTGTGTATTAGAAGCAACAAGCAGAGCTGGCATGCTGTGTCACCCCATCAGCCTCACATCCCCTTTCTGAACACCTGCTGTTGGCATATGACTGCAGCCTTCTGGTAATGCAGACCCTGCGAGGCACCAGGGATGTAACGAGTTCCTGATACCCACAGCGTGAACTTGGACTGAATCCCCAGCTCCTAAGAGCATGCATGAGGCAAGCGAGTTAGCTGGTAAGAGGTCTCTGTCCACCAACAACCAAAAAAACCCACCAGGGGAAATGTTCAAAATGCTGATGCCCATATTTCACCCTCACTGATTTTGATCATAGAGTATGTTTCCTCTTAAAAGAAAAAAAAAAAAAAAGAAAGGTTTATTGGGCCTGGTGCAACAGCTCAATGGTTTAACCCTCACCTTATAAGCACAGGCTCCCGCATGGATCCTGGTATGTGTCCCAGCTGCCCTCCTGCTTCCCATCCAGCTCCCTGCTTGTGGCCTGGGAAAGCAGTGGAGGACGGCCTAAAGCCTTGGGTTCCTGCACCTGCGTGGGAGACCTGGCTCCTGATCAGCTCAGCTCCAGCCACTGCACCATTCGGGGAGTGAATCAGTGGATGGAGAATCTGTCTCTCCTCTTCATAAATCTGATCTCCTTTCCAATAACAATCTCTTTAAAAATGATGTCCTGAAAGGCAGAAGGATAGAGGAAAGACGGAAGGACAGAGAAACTCCATCTGCGGGTTCACAGCAGCCAGAAGAGACTAATGCCAGGCACTCCGTCCTGGTCTCCCATGTGGTAACAGAGGCCTAACACAAGCATTTGAGGCATCTTCCACTGCCTTCCCGGTTGCACTAGCAGGAAGTTGGACCACACCAGTATTCTGATTTAACAGCATTGCGAGCAAATGGTTTAGTCCACCGTACCAGCACTGCGGTACAATGGGTTAAGGCGCCACTAGAAAAACAGCGCTGGTTCTTGTCCTGGTTTCTGTGCTTCCAATCCAGCTTCCTACCAACTCCCCTGAGCAGGCAGTGCATGATGGCCCACACTCCTGCCATCCGTGTGGGAAACCAAATTAAAGTCCTGGCTTCTAGCCTCAGCCTCGCCCAGACCTGACTATCTGCAACCATTCGCAGGCAATCAACCAGTTGGATGGAAGATCTGTTACATTTTCAAATAAATAAATCTTAAAATGTTTCTGAACTCATTGGGTGGGCCCAGTACACAACTGTGGATGAACGCCACTGCCCTAGTATTCTTACACTCTGCGACAGTGAGTGCGTAAGCGCATTAGCTAGAGCTTCCGCACCAGCTGCATGAAGCACTTTCAAGCAGAGTCAAAAAAAAGCCTTCCCTCACCAAAGGTCAGGTCTTACTCCACAACCGTACCAATAACCAATAACCCAAGATCTCCAGGGATAACTAAAGATTGTAAAGTTGAAAATAAATGTTAATAAACTGGAGCTATGTAACTGTTTTCTGCAAAATGAAAGCTAGAGTACGTATTGCTCTGCGGACTTACAGTCTGTTAAAAGTATTCAACTCTGCCACTGTAACACGAGAGTGATGGACAATAGGTTACGCGAATGATCATACTGTGTCCCAATCGCAGTTCATGGATACTAGAATTACATTGCCATGCAGTCTCCACGGGATGAAATGTTTTGCTTTGGTTTTCTTTTTTTCAACCACCTATGTACATAAAGTCCTCATTAGCTCATCCAATAAGTGAAAACCACAGCACTGAATGGTCTGCAGGCCATAATTTGCTAGTGCTAGGTTCCGGGAGGAAGCCTCTTTCCTACTGCCTCTCCTACCACTCCCCATATTGGCAGATGTGTGGGGATCTGCCCCGTACACAACCAAGCAACACTGCCGTGGCCACCCCCAGGTGTCCCAACTCCACTCAGCTCTGACAGTACCTGCCTGGAGACAGTTACCAGACCCCACAGGTTCAGGGCTCGGTCGCGCAAAGTGCCCTCTGCTTGATACCAAATGTGAACAGACTGCCACCTGCTACAAAGCAGAGTTCTGATACACCTCTCCTCTGATCCAGTTTGCTCTAGCAGCTCACAGAACTAAGGGAAACACTTCAGGGAACAGGTGAAGAGCTGCACAGGTTGAAGTATGGGTAATGGGGCCCTGAGCTTCGAGGTCTCTCCACACGCAGCACTCTAGGTGCTTGCCAGTCGCGGGCACACTCTGATCCTGTCCTTTGGTTGATGGATTGTTTCATCACGACTGGTCACTGTCAATACACAACCTGCTCCCCCGCTCCTGCGGGTGGGAGTCACCAGCACCTGCAGGAAAGCTATCAAGCGT